GTATACGCATGCCACCGTAGGGGCGCTATTTCAGGAGACAGTCGTGTGGGTTTGTATCAGAGGGTTGAAAAAAAAACGACCTGTGTGGTTGTTCGTGTTGGAGGAGATGTTTGATTTAGTTCAACGTTCAACAAAACGGCGTAACAGCTCTGCATCCGACACGATCTCCGTCCATAACACACCTGAAAAACACACACGATGGAAGCAGATCGTCTCCTCTGTAGTTGATTGGTCGCACAACATCCTCTGAGCGGACAGCAAAGACAGTTGTAGCATTAAAATGCAGAATGTAAGTAAAACCAACAACAGCTGCAAAGACAACAAGGTCATAACTCTGTCATTCATTCTCATTTTATTCACCACTGGTAGTCCAGGCTGATGACAGCCAATCAGGAGGAGGACCATGGGTGTGACCTCATCGTTTCCAAAGGTCTCAGTTTAGAGGCTCAAAAACTCCAGGAGTAAATGCAGTTTTACACGTCATCTATAAGTCTGTCAGGAGAACATTATTTATCAGCACCTACAAAAAACTATGTTTAAAAAATTAGCAACATGAGCATTTTCTGATCAGCCATACCGTTTGGCTCTTGTTCATTAATGGCTTCTCTTTCTAAGCCGAGTGACACGAGAGCTCCGAGTGAGAATGAAAATCAGACAAATGAATGTTGGATTTTGAAGAAACTTTGTCTCCTGACCAATTGAAATAAAAGACTTTGTCTGAGTTGGAGAACGACTTTCACCAGTGACCGGGTCAGAACATGAAACTGATCCAAACTAAAGCTCCATGTTTCTTCTTCTTCTGTGTTTTATTTGAAGTGTTGATCCATCAGAAGATATAAAAACCATCTCAGTGTAGTTTTACATCTCCTCTCTCAGGCTTCTCTCTGGAGCTTCTAGTAACAACAGGTCAGTCAGCCAATCAGAAGAGAGGAGGCTCTGAGCCTCTCCTCTGATTGGCTCACTGTTTTCTGAGTGATCCAAAAAAATATATGCAGATTTCAGGTAAAAACACTCAGAGAAACCAAATCCTGTAAAGGTTTGGATGTGGTCCAGGTGGGCGGGGCTTGGTGACTGCTTTGTTGTGACATCACAAAGTTCCAGAAGTCCTGACGGCTGGTTTAAGGCTCAGTTTCTGAATACAGGCTGTGTGCATTTCTCTGTGGACTGAGGCTTTGATACTTTCACAGTATTAATATAGAAGCTAGAGCTGATCTATAATCACACTACACATGGACACAGACCTTTACACTGGAGGAGCTGTAAACGGTAAATGGACTGCACATATACAGCAACTTTATAGTCTAATTGATCACTTAAAGTGCTTTACATTCACACACTGATGGAACAGCGTCAGGGGCAATGTGGGGCTCAGTTTCTTGC